TAGTTTCTACTATCACCGCAAGTGTCTTGCATATCTTTTCTAGTGTATCAAACTAATTCTCACATTTTCATACTAAAAAAGACAAATGCCCTAAAATCAAATAAGCTACACTTTAATAAAGTATACAGTATTGTTACAATAACAAAACATATCGTTTTTATAAAATTACAGTAAAACTATATAACATTATCTTTAACTATGTGAAAAAATTATTTTGACAATTGAAATGACACAAAGGGAGTATGTGCCATTAGCTAGACTATTTTTATCAAAAAATATTTTGCAAACTTGTATAAAAAAATTAGCGGACAATTAAATGGAAAAAAACATGTATACATATTTAAAAAAGTAGAAATTAACAACAATTTCTTCTCAGAATAATCCTACCTAAATGTAATCATAAATAATCTCATCTTTGGACCCATCGTATAGTCTAGCCGTCTAGAGGTGGGCAAATCGGTTTATAGTTCGATTTTCTTCGGTTTCGTTTCGGTTTGGGAGTAAAATTAAAGTATTAATTATAAAAGTAATACTTCTGTAATATTACTTTTCGTAAAATGACACAACTATTACAGAAGTATTATTTTGAGAAAGTACAGAAAAGATACATGTGATTTGGTTCGTTTTCAAATTTGGGCATGTGTTTCATTTTTTAGCACTTCAAAAACATCGCGACAAATTAAAGTTATTACAAATTATCATGTGAAATGATCCATAACAAATTTATTGATTTAAAAAAAATTACGGACGGAATCCGTGATAAATATATACCGTTTAAAAAAATAAATTTGACAGGGACACAATCTATGACAAGGATATTGTTACATCAAAAATCAATAAAAAATTGGCATCATTGAAAACTAGCATTTGAAAAAATTACACATGGTTGGAGTTATTCTCTTTGTGAGGGTTATTCTCTTTGGTGTTATTCTCGGTATCCAAATGTAGGTTCAAGCGGCATCTCAAAATATATTATATTGGCTCGAGCTCGAGCGGTTCGAACGAGCTTAAAAAATCTGGGCTCGAGCTCGACTCGCAAATATTGAAATGGCTCGATTCGGCTCTGTTGAAATATTTCCAAATAATATGGCCTAATGACCAATATTAAAATGTGTTCTATATTTATGTATTATATATAATTATGTATTATATATAATATATGTATTATTTGATGGAAATAATACTTAAGGGGTACCATTGTGGTAACACCCTTTAGGACAAATATGAAGAGTTGTGACTTCTGGCTTAATCCCATTATAAATACTCCTTGCTCTTCCTTTGTTGAAACACACTTACAACACAAACACCAACTCAAGAGAGATATCACAACTCCCTAAATATACTCCATCTATCATTTGTCCTAAAAGGGCTTACACATTTACTTTATTCAAGTGCAACAATGGCATTATCTTCTTCCAAACTCTCTCAAATGAACATTGGATGCTCTCCAAGTAAGTCTCTATAAATTTACAATTATGATTAATTGTGTGATGTTATTTGATCTTGATTATATATGATGATTAACTTTTCCAACATTTGGTATGAGAGCATTTTGATAACATCACCATTAATTTTCTGCAATTCATAATTGTGTGATTTGCTGATAAATTTTGTCTTCTACGTTCTTAAGTTTCTGACAATTTAAAGGAAGATTTTTTTTATCGTTGTGATTCTGCCATATCATTATCGCATGTAAAGTGTTGCTTTGTTATTATTATTATTATTATTATTTTATCAAACACGTAAAATTATTATGGACTGTCAATATATGAGTTTCTCCATTATTGATAATCTTGATCCACATATTTTGTCTCTCCAACCTTTTCGTCTGCATCTGGAAACGTTGTTGTAAAAAGTGTATTAACGATATTCATGGTGCTGGTACACTAATTAAGTGTAGGCACGATATTCACGATATGGGTGGCCTTTTCTTCTTCTTTTTTCTTCGTTTCTTCTTCCGAAATCTCCCGAATGCTCCCGACTCGATCCCAAAGATCTCCCTTTCATCAATTCTTCACCGTGAACCTCCCCGATACTCAAACTACTTTCATAAACAAATTTGGTTGATAGACACTTCCTTGAAATATGTATGTTATACAGGTGGGGTTGAAAATAACAGTATTGCTTTGAATTTGCAATAATATCATGTTATTCAACTTCATGTAGAAAACCCCTCCAAAACTCTCGAAACTCTCTTGAATGCTCATCAATTCTTCTTGATTTCTTCTCAAGCGCCGGTGCCGGATCTAATTACCTGATTTTTTACTCCAAACAACAAAAAACTCGAACCAACGCCTGGTACACATAACTTGAGCTAAAATTGAGATTTGTGACACCTTAAAGCTAGGTAAATCATCAAAAACCGACCCCAACACGCATCAAACGCGTGTTGTAATACGGACTTATCAAATTCCCCCACACTTAAGCTTTTGCTTGTCCTCAAGCAAATCGAACAACGGGACTTACGATAATCACCACACGGAATTCAAAACAATTAGCATACACACGTAGTCAAAGGGATATTCACGGAACAGAAAGACTAAATCAAGAAAATTCTTCCCTAAACTACATCTTTGTACTCTAGCTAACTTAAATGACAAAATTATTCACAATATCCTTGAAGTAATGGCAGCAAACACGAATGAATTAGCTACTGATCAGAAGGACTTGTGAAGGCGGTGGTGAATGACGGATGGTAAAGAATAAAAGTCCCTTTCATTAAGAGTTTTGGGAATAATCTGACACAGACTTAATGCATTCAGGAATTTCAGGGTTATTTTAGGATGAGGGAGTTCAGCAGGACACAAATTTGGAACTATCATTTAAACTTATGCAAAGAGTAGACATGGTGTACAACTAAGCTAAACCGCTGCGGCACATTTGTTCTTTGACGTATACTTGAAGTACACGAAGGACTAATGCTAATTTTTGCAATAGCCTCCAAGTTCAATTAATTAAGATCAGGTTTCCTTGTCATGTTGGCACGAGAACGCCATTTCTTTCGAAAGATCCCCAAGTAATCTTATTGTGTAGAACACTTACGCTTTTTGACCGGGTCTCCCATTCTCTTTTTCGCAAGGTATTCAATTATTTTTTTCAATTTTAAGAGTTTGAGTAGACATTACCTCATTCTAATCTCGACCTCACCAAATCAAGGTGAATCCATGCCTACAATGCAATCCTCGAAAATATCAAATTCCTAAAAAGTGACTACTCTTACCCCATTTGGGGCATAGGAACAGTGCCAAAAGTTGCTCCTACATAAATTCCCTAAACTTGGCAAACTAATCCCCTAATTCCCTAAACATCAAGACTTCGTCAGACTTATTCTCGGATAAGGAAACAAAGGCCATATGGCTATGGAGCTCAATTAATTAGGTGAAGAATAAAATAGTCAGGCTCAAAATGGATTTCTCCTAAAGGACTTATTCAGGTGAGATAGATGATTTAATCAATTCAACGTGTGGCTAATGCCTTCATCCTCTCAACAAGTAGATCATCGTGCAGCCATTTAAGCCTAAACACTTCAAAGATGTTCTAAAAGCATAGTCAACACGCTAGTCGGCTCACAAAGACACAGTTTAAGGAAAAAATTTCAAAAATTTTGACATGACTTTCCTATGAATATACAACTAACACCTGCACATGCTAACCCTAGTAATCCCATGTAACAACTACTGCCCGAATGCCCAATTCACTCACCCACACTTAAACTTTGGCATCGCCCTCGATGACCAAAAAATGCACTATTCACAAGAGGGTAAAGAGGAAAGGGTCACGCGTGCTCAACTTAACTCAAGTCAACATATTAAAACAGGCGTAAATAATAGTCATGAAAACTTCCCAACAAAACACTGAGATGCAAAAGAAAAACATAAACACAAAAACACACAAAAACAAAGAAACAAGCTAAAACAAAAGTGCAAAAAAAAAGCTTGGGTTGGCTCCCAAGAAGCGTTATTTTTAACGTCGTTTGCCCGACGATACCTCATATGCTCTCAAATAGCAAATACTGCAGCGGGGCCCTAATCATCAACTTATCCAGCTTTCCCTCAATAAATGCCATTAGGGGGCGCAGATTCTTAAACTCTTGGAACCACGTAGGAATCATGTGGTCTTCATGAACATCATCAGCAAACAAGGGTAGAACGCCCCTCACATCCTTTGGTTCCAAATGCATCACAAACACATCCCTTCCTTGCTCAAATTTACCGTGGAAATTCAGAGCACCTACTTTTGACTCAATATCACTCTCCATGAAGCCATCTCAACTCTTATCGTCACCACTCTCATTAATATCTTCTCGTATAATGTTGTCACTCTCCACACAAAAAGGAATATTATCATCAAGGAGTGAATCAAAGAAATACAAATCTGAAACCACGTAAGAGTGGATTGGTGCATGTGTACAAGAGGGGTAATCTTGCTTGTGGAGCGGGACTTCTTCATTATGGACATCATCTACCTCGCCCCCACTCTCTTGGAGCATGTAATCATCTTTTCCTAACTCATTTTCAATAGCCAAACCTACCTCAGTAGCACCATCCTCATGACTGATTTGCTTCATGCCCTCATCATGTGTTGAGACCAATGGTAAATCAAACAGCTGGGGAGTCTCTGTATGAAAATCACAGTGGTGTGTGACTTCATCAGTTACAGCTTGTACCTTTTGAAACTTTTGCATGTATTTTTGGAAAAACAACTCGACATTACTATCTTCTTGTTCATCTTCAAGCATAGGTGGGTCTTCAAAAGCATCAGAAAATGTATCATCCATCATACTCAATGCCATGATCATCCATATTGGTCTCCTCAGGTTGGGCTTTTGTCAGTTGACCCACCACATTGATTAGATTCTGCATTTTGGTTGTGAGCTGCATGAGTGTCTCTTCCAAGTCAGGCAGCCTCGATCTCTGAAATTTTCTCCTTAAAATGATTATGTGGCTCATTAATCGGCAAGGATATTGGAGTGGCTGTGTCACGCCCCAGACCGTGTCTGTGCCACGTAGACAACAGTCGTACAACCCAATAAGAATAACCGCGGTTCATCCTTACCAAATTGCACAAGACGTCCGGTAGATATATATGCCAAAACTGATTAGTAAACATACATAACAACATCAACATACAATTAAACACATAGCGGAATATAAGTGTTTAATAAGAACCCACACGAGGGTAAAATAAGAGCTCACAGGCTCCATTAATTTATAAGTCAAAAATAGTTCCATGAGCATTATTTATTTATTTAGAAATAGAACCAGAGGAAGCACGAACCACGTCTTCTCTCCATCGATCTCCCGAGCAATGGGTGTAGGAAGTAAGCTCTAGCTTCAACCTGAAAGGGTGGTTCCCCCGAGGGATCAGTACTACAGAAAAGTACTGGTGAGGGCAAACTGTATGTAATATAACTAACGTTTCTCACATGGGACCCTCAACATATGGTGATAGTATACGTATAGGCATAACTTTTGGCTACCCCTTTTCAAAATATATCGTATACGTATATACATATGAGTAAAATATCCGGCCCGTGGGCCCATTTGTCTTTCAAATCATCTAGGCGTAACAGCCTCGTTAAATTCACCCTTCCCATGTCCTACCCTCGAGTGAAGTCACCCGCAGGCTAACTCACCCGATAACAAAGATAATTATTTCGGGGGCCCTTCAGGCTCCCATATCACAGACATGATTTAAATTAAATTCCTAGACCAAGGAAAATACCCTATCGGGAACTCATTCCCGATCACGCATGTTTAATCATCTACAATCATTACTTGAGGTTCACCTACCTCGAGGACTATTCGTCCTTACAATCATAGTTTACATTCCCGGGGCTAACCCCGCCTTGAGGAGTACGCATACACCCTTATCCTATGTGTAATTTGCTGGAGGTTAACACACCTCAAGGACTACACGGGCCCTTGTTACCTATATGCAATTTGATGGAGGTTAACACATCTCAAGGACTGCACTTGCCCTTGTTACCTATGTGTAATTTGCTGGAGGTTAACACACCTCAAGGACTACACGGGCCCTTATTACCTATATGCAATTTGATGGAGGTTAACACACCTCAAGGACTGCATTTGCCCTTGTTACCTATGTGTAATTTGCTGGAGGTTAACACACCTCAAGGACTACACGGGCCCTTGTTACGTATATGCACTTTGATGGAGGTTAACACACCTCAAGGACTGCATTTGCCCTTGTTACCTATGTGTAATTTGCGGGAGGTTAACACACGTCAAGGACTACACGGGCCCTTGTTAACATTTGAGTATAAAGGACTCATCCTGGTCCTACAGAGTTTTACCTGACCTTACTGGGTCCCGAGTATTCACCTGTCATGTATAATCTACCACTTACCTCACCCGGTCGTGGTCTATAATTTCTTTACTAACGACTAGTCCAAGTCTTAGCGTTTAAATCATATTCGAAGCCTTAGCAACCAACGTGGACGAGTCCCACCAGAACGGCCCACGTAAACTTACTAAAAAACTGCATATTGGGTGTAAAACCCAATACCCGGTCGGGTATTACCCATACCCGGTCGAGTAGGGTGAGCCAGTAGCCCCTGGGACTGTTTTTAACTAATACCCGGTCGGGTCTATACCCATACCCGGTCGGTTCTAGTGTGGCAGTGGCTCCTGGAACCATTTTTAACCAATACCCGGTCGGGTATTTACCAATACCCGGTCGGGTATTTACCAATACCCGGTCGGGTATTACTTTTGTGTTGGCGGTCAACGCCCGTTTGACCGCCCAAACGAAGTCCGATTAACGTGAAATTTTATACACATGTACTTCTTGACGTCCTTAATCTAAAAATGCCCTTTTGGGTCCTTGGAACATCATACATAATTAATTATCACATTTTTAATCATCAAGCTTACTCAACATGCTCTTCAACTATATTTTTCATATAATCATGGAATAACACATACTTGATTATCTTTAATCATTCCATAAAATATATTCTTGATTACTTTAAGTAATCTCATGTCTCACTCAAAAGTTATAAAGCATAAAGCCGTCTTCACAAAACTATTAATAAGTACTTCATACTTATTAATCGTTTATATATTTCGTTCTAGTTTATTCTTCATAACTAGATTTAATTTAATGACATGTATGATTAAGCACTTGAATACTTCAAGAATACCATCTTGAATTACCTTAGTTAATGTCCAACTAAATCATTCATGATTATCCTTCATCAAAAATATTAATAATTCTTTTACTCATTAATCATGCCATTTTCACATAACTTATAATCATTATAGCAAATCACATGTTTAAACACATTTAAACATTTCTATACATATTCACATACTAGATTACTCTAGTTATCTCATACATATTCCATGTATGCATTTTCATACATTTGACAATAATATATTCACGATTAATCCACAAATAAACCTCTTATTCAATAATCATGTAATATTTCCATAATTCATATTCACCATGACTAATCATGCATTTTAATCCATTTAATCATTTCTCAAATCATGATAAGGATTTTATTTAGGTAATCCCACGTTAGATCCAAGAGTTACAAGACACGTAGTCGTCCACTCACCTCGAAATGACGCTAGCAAGCTTTTAACCTCTTCGTTTGAACTCTGGTGACTTTTGAAATTTTCCGGCGAAAACTCCGGCGGCTCTGGCGACTTTTCCGGCCAATCTTAGATTCCTTGAGAAGTCTAGAATACCTTGGTAAAATTCCCTACAAGGTTTCACAACCAAAAGTTGCATAAACATCAAAACCTTCCGAGAAGGTATTTTCCGGCGAACCGGTCTTACTCCGGTCATAACTCCGTTCATGGTTAAAACTAACCTTCCAACCCCTCATTCTACATCTCTAGAAGTGTAGAACAAGCTTATGGTCTATCATATGATTTATAAAATCATATGAGATTAAAATGAAGGAAGAAAAATACTGATGAAGTCATTACCTTGATTTTTTCCAAGTTTTCCTCTTTCTTTCCTATTCTTTCTTCTCTTTTCTTGCTTGCTTCCTCCTCTTTGTTCTTGGTTCGAGTAAAGTGGTAGAGATATGTTTTTGAGACCCTATTCCTCCCTGATTGAGTGAGAGGATGGTTCTTTGTCATCTTCAAAAAATAATGAAGGAGGGTCCCTTTTCTTTTAATATTATGTCTCCCCATCACTTCTTATTACACTCCAGCCAAGTAGGTCGGCTCTCCTCCCTCTTTTGCATGGTCTCAAGTCATGGGGTGGCCCCCACTCATGTGGGAGGTCATCCCTTTATACCCCGAAGTGTGTATTCGATCCCGAAAGTTGCATTTTTCGGACTGTTTTAATTAACTTTCTTTTTATCGGGTCAAATAAAATATATATCATTCTTCCAATCAGTATTGGTCTTTAGAGTGAATATATATCATCCAACTTTAATTTCGTCGTTCCCGGAAGTTATTTCGGGCTATTATCTGATTAATTACCAATACCGGTAATGAGACTTCGTTTGATCGAAAGGCCACTTTATGGCTCAAATGTAATTTACACCATCATATAAATATCATCTAGACCAGGATGAATATAATATGTGGTCTTTAAATATCGAATGGTTCCTGTCCATGTGTGGGCCCAACGTGCATTTTACTGTTCAAGTAACAGTAGAAATGAGAACGCGTCATCTCGTAAATTCATTAGTCATTTCTCATGACTCAATATGTGTTTTGATATTTTGTGACACTTTAACAAAATGTTGCACTTCTTTTTAAATGGTCCAAAGTGTATGAACAGATAAAATCTTATCATTTTGTTCCTATACCAAAGTATCTTCAAGGTAGGGTCCTCCAAAAGTATCCTCCTTTAATGCACCAAATTAATCATATATTTATCAACCCATTGTTTTGGATTCTTAAATTATTTATATTTCTTCTGTCATTAATTCATAGTCTTCCGAATTATAAACATTTCAAGAATTAAGGGCTCACAATTATCGATTAGTGGCCCCGACCCACGTGGCCGTCTAGTTGTCATTCTATATATCACTGGGGTCCACGACCCATTCCTACTATCAAAATAGTATTGTTTAGATCAACATTATTATTTTTATACAATATAAATATCACGGGTGGTCCCCGCTCACGATGTGGGTCCCGCGTTTGATTAATAATCCTTTATTAATTTAAGACAATAATTTTATCTTTCTCATTTATCAAGGCTACTCTAGTCTTGATTTACCTTCGTTAACCATGTACTTGATCAAAAAAAAAAATCTCTGGGTAAAATTCGGGTCCGGTGTTACAAGTTCACCCCCCTTTCATGAATTTCGTCCCTGAAATTAACGTGTGACGGTCTGAAACATGAGAAACATTTTTTTTTCTTCTTCATTTTCTGAAGCTAACAATTTTGAACATAAAAATATTTATGGAATTTAAGGTTCAAATAAAAATTACCTTATGCCATAGTTATTCCCGAAAATAGCTTCCATCATTCATCGCCCTCACGAGCGAGTTCTCCACCGATTGGTGGATGGTAAAACGTTTGAAGCAATCCCTGTTGGGTTTGCAATCTCCGTGACTCCCCTGTGGACCCCCAATGCTCCTCCTCGTACACGCTGAGGACAAAGAACCTTTATGTGGCCCGTTTCTCCACAAAAGTAGCATCTAGATGGTTCTAGACATATCCCGTAGTGTCTCCGCCTACAATTCTCACATTTGGGTGCTCCTGTGCCCCGAGTGCTTGAGCTTTGACTAACCCAGTCCTGGCTCCCTTTTGGAAATGGAACTAACTTGTTAGAGTCCCCCTTGCTCTCAAAGTCGTACTTCCTCTCCCGCCGTGGAGGATGGTTGATCATTTGATCCCTTTCTTGTGTTTCCTTAGCACCCCTTGCTTGCCTTTCCTCCCAAAGCTCTTCCCCCTGGAGACCCTGGGCTACTACTTGACTGAAAGTCATGTTGAATTGATAGGTCGCCCTTTCGCGTCCCTCCAAGTTTAGTGCATTCCAAAAATGGTTCGCCATTCGATCCTCATTGGCGGCATATTCAGGCAAGAACCTTGCCAAATGTCGGAACCTTTGTTCCAATTGCTTCACCGTAAACTCATTGCCTTGCTTGAGATTGGTATATTCCCTCCTCTTTCGATTTACTTCGAAAGAGGTATAGAACTGTTCATAGAATGATTGCTCGAAGTTGTCCCACGTGACAACCCCGCCAAACTTACCCTTGATACCTTCCCACCAAGTAGAAGCTAAACCTTCCAACAATCTAGTGGCTACCCTTAACTTCCGATCAGGGACCACTTGCATGTCATCGGCTGCATCATTTAACCTTTTTATCCACTCGGCTGCGTCCGAGATATCACCTGTCCCATCAAACGGTTTGCACCCCAAGGCCCTAGCCTCTTTTAAGTACTTTGAGATCTTAATGAATGGTTCTTCACCATCAGAATCTTTGACCGTTCTAACTTGTGCCCTATGAGCACCCCGACCCCTCCTGCGAGAGGTCTCGTCTCTGACATGTCCCACCTGGGCTCTTTGTCGTTGCCTTTCCCTTTCCCGTTGGTACCATCGGTACATCTCACTAACCTGGTCAAGAGGAATACTATGTATATCCTCCCCTCCGTTTTCATCAAAAGAAGTATCATCCGACTCACTTTTAGGGTGATAAGTTGAGTCATCCTCCGAGTTCCACGACTCGAATCCAGTCACAATGCAATCAGCCATCGCGGCTTGTGTTCGTTGGCCTTGGTGGCCCCTAACTCGCCTTTTTGGCGACCTTGATATTCCCCGATTGGCTTGCCCGACTATCCCCGGCGCCCGCCCTCTCGGATTCCCTTGAACCGCCCTATCGTTACCACCCATTTCTGAAAGAATATATTGGAATGAGTCTTTGGACTCGTTTGAATGTCAATTGACAGAAACGTACTTAACACACAACTTGGCTCAAGTCACTGTCATACCAATTGTTAAGGGGCCCATCTTAACAACCAGAGACCTTGCAACTCGATAACCAAATGCTCTTAAAGTACAAAATTTATGCTCATGGATTTTCATTGAAAGATTGTTTTGATAGAAACTTTGTTGAGAGGTTGACTATATAGTTTAGTAACCGTATGGCTCTGATACCACTTAATTGTCACGCCCCAGACCGTGTCTGTGCCACGTAGACAACCGTCGTACAACCCAATAAGAATAACCGCGGTTCATCCTTACCAAATTGCACAAGACGTCCGGTAGATATATATGCCAAAACTGATTAGTAAACATACATAACAACATCAACATACAATTAAACACATAGCGGAATATAAGTGTTTAATAAGAACCCACACGAGGGTAAAATAAGAGCTCGCAGGCTCCATTAATTTATAAGTCAAAAATAGTTCCATGAGCATTATTTAATTATTTAGAAATAGAACCAGAGGAAGCACGAACCACGTCTTCTCTCCATCGATCTCCCGAGCAATGGGTGTAGGAAGTAAGCTCTAGCTTCAACCTGAAAGGGTGGTTCCCCCGAGGGATCAGTACTACAGAAAAGTACTGGTGAGGGCAAACTGTATGTAATATAACTAACGTTTCTCACATGGGACCCTCAACATATGGTGATAGTATACGTATAGGCATAACTTTTGGCTACCCCTTTTCAAAATATATCGTATAGGTATATACATATGAGTAAAATATCCGGCCCGTGGGCCCATTTGTCTTTCAAATCATTTAGGCGTAACAGCCTCGTTAAATTCACCCTTCCCATGTCCTACCCTCGAGTGAAGTCACCCGCAGGCTAACTCACCCGATAACAAAGATAATTATTTCGGGGGCCCTTCGGGCTCCCATATCACAGACATGATTTAAATTAAATTCCTAGACCAAGGAAAATACCCTATCGGGAACTCATTCCCGATCACGCATGTTTAATCATCTACAATCATTACTTGAGGTTCACCTACCTCGAGGACTATTCGTCCTTACAATCATAGTTTACATTCCCGGGGCTAACCCCGCCTTGAGGAGTACGCATACACCCTTATCCTATGTGTAATTTGCTGGAGGTTAACACACCTCAAGGACTACACGGGCCCTTGTTACCTATATGCAATTTGATGGAGGTTAACACACCTCAAGGACTGCACTTGCCCTTGTTACCTATGTGTAATTTGCTGGAGGTTAACACACCTCAAGGACTACACGGGCCCTTATTACCTATATGCAATTTGATGGAGGTTAACACACCTCAAGGACTGCATTTGCCCTTGTTACCTATGTGTAATTTGCTGGAGGTTAACACACCTCAAGGACTACACGGGCCCTTGTTACGTATATGCACTTTGATGGAGGTTAACACACCTCAAGGACTGCATTTGCCCTTGTTACCTATGTGTAATTTGCGGGAGGTTAACACACCTCAAGGACTACACGGGCCCTTGTTAACATTTGAGTATAAAGGACTCATCCTGGTCCTACAGAGTTTTACCTGACCTTACTGGGTCCCGAGTATTCACCCGTCATGTATAATCTACCACTTACCTCACCCGGTCGTGGTCTATAATTTCTTTACTAACGACTAGTCCAAGTCTTAGCGTTTAAATCATATTCGAAGCCTTAGCAACCAACGTGGACGAGTCCCACCCGAACGGCCCACGTAAACTTACTAAAAAACTGCATATAGGGTGTAAAACCCAATACCCGGTCGGGTATTACCCATACCCGGTCGAGTAGGGTGAGCCAGTAGCCCCTGGGACTGTTTTTAACTAATACCCGGTCGGGTCTATACCCATACCCGGTCGGTTCTAGTGTGGCAGTGGCTCCTGGAACCATTTTTAACCAATACCCGGTCGGGTATTTACCAATACCCGGTCGGGTATTACTTTTGTGTTGGCGGTCAACGCCCGTTTGACCGCCCAAACGAAGTCCGATTAACGTGAAATTTTATACACATGTACTTCTTGACGTCCTTAATCCAAAAATGCCCTTTTGGGTCCTTGGAACATCATAAATAATTAATTATCACATTTTTAATCATCAAGCTTACTCAACATGCTCTTCAACTATATTTTTCATATAATCATGGAATAACACATACTTGATTATCTTTAATCATTCCATAAAATATATTCTTGATTACTTTAAGTAATCTCATGTCTCACTCAAAAGTTATAAAGCATAAAGCCGTCTTCACAAAACTATTAATAAGTACTTCATACTTATTAATCGTTTATATATTTCGTTCTAGTTTATTCTTCATAACTAGATTTAATTTAATGACATGTATGATTAAGCACTTGAATCCTTCAAGAATACCATCTTGAATTACCTTAGTTAATGTCCAACTAAATCATTCATGATTATCCTTCATCAAAAATATTAATAATTCTTTTACTCATTAATCATGCCATTTTCACATAACTTATAATCATTATAGCAAATCACATGTTCAAACACATTTAAACATTTCTATACATATTCACATACTAGATTACTCTAGTTATCTCCATGTATGCATTTTCATACATTTGACAATAATATATTCACGATTAATCCACAAATAAACCTCTTATTCATTAATCATGTAATATTTCCATAATTCATATTCACCATGACTAATCATGCATTTTAATCCATTTAATCATTTCTCAAATCATGATAAGGATTTTATTTAGGTAATCCCACGTTAGACCCAAGAGTTACAAGACACGTAGTCGTCCACTCACCTCGAAATGACGCTAGCAAGCTTTTTACCTTGATTTTTTCCAAGTTTTCCTCTTTCTTTCCTATTCTTTCTTCTCTTTTCTTGCTTGCTTCCTCCTCTTTGTTCTTGGTTCGAGTAAAGTGGTAGAGATATGTTTTTGAGACCCTATTCCTCCCTGATTGAGTGAGAGGATGGTTCTTTGTCATCTTCAAAAAATAATGAAGGAGAGTCCCTTTTCTTTTAATATTATGTCTCCCCATCACTTCTTATTACACTCCAGCCAAGTAGGTCGGCTCTCCTCCCTCTTTTGCATGGTCTCAAGTCGTGGGGTGGCCCCCACTCATGTGGGAGGTCATCCCTTTATACCCCGAAGTGTGTATTCGATCCCGAAAGTTGCATTTTTCGGACTGTTTTAATTAACTTTCTTTTTATCGGGTCAAATAAAATATATATCATTCTTCCAATCAGTATTGGTCTTTAGAGTGAATATATATCATCCAACTTTAATTTCGTCGTTCCCGGAAGTTATTTCGGGCTATTATCTGATTAATTATCAATACTGGTAATGAGACTTCGTTTGATCGAAAGGCCACTTTATGGCTCAAATGTAATTTACACCATCATATAAATATCATCTAGACCAGGATGAATATAATATGTGGTCTGTAAATATCGAATGGTTCCTGCCCATGTGTGGGCCCAACGTGCATTTTACTGTTCAAGTAACAGTAGAAATGAGAACGCGTCATCTCGTAAATTCATTAGTCATTTCTCATGACTCAATATGTGTTTTGATATTTTGTGACACTTTAACAAAATGTTGCACTTCTTTTTAAATGGTCCAAAGTGTATGAACAGATAAAATCTTATCACTTTGTTCCTATACCAAAATATCTTCAAGGTAGGGTCCTCCAAAAGTACCCTCCTTTAATGCACCAAATTAATCATATATTTATCAACCCATTGTTTTGGATTCTTAAATTATTTATATTTCTTCTGTCATTAATTCATAGTCTTCTGAATTATTAACATTCCAAGAATTAAGGGCTCACAATTATCGATTAGTGGCCCCGACCCACGTGGCCGTCTAGTTGTCATTCTATATATCACTGGGGTCCACGACCCATTCCTACTATCAAAATAGTATTGTTTAGATCAACATTATTTTTTTTATACAATATAAATATCATGGGTGGTCCCCGCTCCCGATGTGGGTCCCGCGTTTGATTAATAATCCTTTATTAATTTAAGACAATAATTTTATCTTTCTCATTTATCAAGGCTACTCTAGTCTTGATTTACCTTCGTTAACCATGTACTTGATCAAAAAAAAAAATCTCTGGGTAAAATTCGGGTCCGGTGTTACAGGCTGAAACATTTGTGTTTGTAAATTGTTGGGAGGAACACGTGGGGTATGCAGTTGCTCAATAAAGATGGTCATTTGGAGGGATGGGGCAAAGACATAAATGGTGACATCCACCACAGAAGGAACAAATGCTATTTTTAGGAAATCAACCAACCAATTCCCTAGGACTTTTATTTTTAACAAGATAATAAAGCATGGTGCATGGTCTTGCCCTAGAATATTGTGGATAAGGATAATGAGGGGAATGACTTTGGGAATGTTGCGTATTTGGAGGAGGGTAAGAATAGGAAGATGGAATATTTTGTGGTGGAGAAGAGTAATATTAATGGTGAGGAGTGTAATATTAAGGAGGAGTGTAAGGAGAGTCTGGCATATATGATGAATATTCCATAGAGGTTAGAGGGTAAGGAATTCCTCCTGGAATTTGACTGAATGGGTTTATCTCACGCCTCTTAGAAAAATACCTGAAAGGTTAGCACAGAAAAATCCTACGGAAAACAAAAAGAAAAACTAACCAAAAAAATCTCGCTGAAATTAATTAACCCTTAAAACCGACACCGTCCCCGGCAACGGCCCCAAAAGCTGATGTGAGTTTTCTCGCACTTAAAATAGATCGTAGAATAGTGGTGTAAGTACAAGTATCGTCTCCACAGGGACGGTAAAAGGGAATTAAGAATTAAATAAATTCAGCGATTAAAAATAAATAAAATAAATGCGTCGTGCGAGATTTGGTTGGTTGAATTGAAATTAAACTAAAGCGAATGAGCGATTAAAATAAAAGGTTGGGTTCTTCTTAATTAATGACAAAGGGAACATGGATTGATTCCGGGGTAATCAGATTTCTGGTAGATTTGGCTTAATTACATGAAATTAATTTAATTGAGCCTAGCTAATCAATACTAAGTTCTTACCGCTCTCGCGGCGTAGAGTATAATAATTTAGGGGGCCAGGCTGATTTCTCATACGACAGGAACCTAAATTATTGCCAAAACGAGCGAGCTTACGCCCCCTTAATCGCTACTAATCTCTTAGCGAACGATTAACTGTGTGTGAATGTGTCTCAAAATAAACTAGATCACTCTTAATTTATTCTACAAGCAATTGTATTTCTACCGGCCATTCTAGGTTACAAGAAATATCAGTTTAATTATTCAAACACAAATTAAACGACCTTCATGCAATTAATCATCAAGAATCTAGTCATACATCATGCTTAACCCCTTCATGCAATTAATCCCAAATCCCTAATTAAAACTACTCCCGACTCATAATTGAAGAATCAAAAGAATTGGGAAGAATAGAAATAATTGTCATTAATTAAAAAGTAGGAACTTACAAAGAATGTCAATGAATTGAAGAACAAGGCTAAAAACCTCTCAAAATTTCGTGTTATTGCTCCTCTCTAAGTTCCACCCCCCCCCCCCCCCCCCCCCAAAAAAAAATAGGGTTAGGAAGGGCTTATTTATAGAAAAAGGGAAGAAATTCGAGTGGGATTAGGGTTCCCAGGGTCAGACACGGCGTGTCTGCGACAGTGCCGGCGGAGCAAACACTTTTTCGCGTCCAGGCACGACGTGCCTACCTTGCCAAGCACGACCGTGCCTGGCTTCCAGGGAATCACTTCTTCGAATAGCTACAAACACGGCGTGCCTGCCTGCCTTGCCAGGCACGACCGTGCCTGACCTCCAACGAACATCCACCTCGATATACTACAGGCACGGCGTGCCTATCTCCCCAGGCACGATCATGCCTTGCCTTTTTCTTCGCCTGGTACACTTCTAGGAACGCACGGCGTGCCTGGCTACTGGGCACGGCCGTGCGTGGCCTTTTCTTCTTCTTTTTTCTTCGTTTCTTTTTTCGAATGCTCCCGACTCGATCCCAAAGGTCTCCGCTTCATCAATTCTTCACTGTGAACCTTTCGGAGACCTCCAAAACTCTCGAAACTCTCTTGAATGCTCATCAATTCTTCTTGATTTCTTCTCAAGTGCCGGTGCCGGATCTAATTACCGGATTTTTTACTCCAAACAACAAAAAACTCGAACCAACGACTGGTACACATAACTTGAGCTAAAATTGAGATTTGTGACACCCTCAAACTAGGTAAATCATCAAAAACCAATCCCAACACGCATCAAATGCGTGTTGTAATATGGACTTATCACTTCTTGAAAAATTAGAAAGCAATCTTGGGTTGTTTGGCTTACTTCGAAGAAAGCTATATTTCACAAGTGTTTAAGAGCTATATACTTCTAACAAGGTTCTACGGTTATCTTTGTATATTCTTTTCAGACAATTTTTTCTTATTATACACTCAGATAAGTTGATTGTTATGTTTTTAAAGGCTTGTAAACAGAAGAATCTGATCTCATGGATCCCTCTTACGTGATATCTTATGTCTGTGTTACTTGGGATTTTGCATTATTGCAGATAATTCATGATTTGAAATGTTTTGAGATGGAAGTTCGTGGGGGCCGGTGGGGCTTACCTCAGTCTTGAAATATATTTATAAACATATTATAACTATATGGCCTCATTAATCTTTATTTGTCATCGATGCAACAATCTTTCTCACATTAATCTTTATTTGTCATCGATGCAACAATCTTTCTCACAGTTTAATTTATTATTCATTTGACTTAACATGAATTGTTTTAATTTCAGGTATTGAGAATTGATTGACCAAACATGAAAAGAGGAAAGCTTTGAGATGAAATTGAACTTCACAATTTTATTTTATGCCAATCTGTTATCTTATATTTGGACAGTTGCACTTGTTATTATGTAGATGTATAAGAGCATCTCCAACAGGAATGTGAATGCACTATGTTAAAAAATGGACACGTAATCTAAATGCACAGCCCGTGAGGCTGATGTGTACGCACAAACTATCAAAATTGTATGTCATCTCCAACGGTGTCCATCTCTTTCTATTTTTATGGACACGAGGCCATCTCTTTCAATTCTCTAAACAAAAACAAAATTCTTAATTATTTTTTTTCGGCGAAAATTCTTAATTATTATTCAAAAATCAATTTGGGTTGATCCATTCACGTCTTTTCATATACATGCCTTATCTTCTCCCAGGCATTTACGATTGCTTGTCATTTGTCCCGGTTCTTTGTATATATGTGTGAAATTGATGAAAGATGATCCCCTGAAGATGAGTGTGCCGAAGCCGATCAAATTCATTCCAGAAGGAGTATCCGTCGCACAAAAATATAGATGGGAGGCAGGGTCAAAGCCTCAAAGGTCACAGCCCCACCATTTTCCTGTTGCCGAGAAACAAAACGAGCCAAAGGAAGAGATCGCCAAAGAAAAAGGGGTTGGCTGCCACCGCCGCCCAGAGAAGGAGTGTCGGACCCTCTTTTGCTGGATTATTGAAATAATCTACATTTTTATACGAACTATTAGTTTCAACTTACGAAAATGCTGACTTGGCTGTGAGACGGACCTTCTCAAAGTAGACAGTGAGGCGGACGATGTCTATTTTTATTCCTTTCCAGCTCAGCACCACATTGAATATGCATTGTTCCATTGGAGAGGATAATTTTATCCCAATATGATGTGGCAATGCATTCAATATCAATCCATGGTCCCATTAAAGATGCTCTAAGTTTTATAGTAAGTAAAAAGTGGATAGTATTACTTTTTGTTTAGTACATAAATTTTAAATTGTTGTTACCCGGGCATCAATTTGGTTTGTATGTTTCAAGAGTAGTAGGTACTAAGTACATTATCAGTTTGCGTTTCATTTTACTTAAGTTTACATCTCTTTTCTTGGTCCAAAAGGTGGAATCTCCCACCCAAGAGCCCATCCCGACTCGACAGGATGATGGGGAGGTTAATCCAAAAGTTGACGTCTCTTTTGGATATCATCCACAGAAGGTGTTTTTTTGCTTCAACATCCGAGTACATGCAATTACCTGTCAACTTAGGTACACTGGGCTGAGATATTACTATTGGCAGCACATCACAACAAGCGAAGAGATAATTCCTGGGCAGCAAAACTGTCATTCTGGGACCTCCGGAAGCGGTGCATGTTTTGTCAGAAATCGATAGAAATCAATAATTGTATGGAGTAAAGGCGAGAGATCAATATTGCTTTAAAGCTCAGCCAACCAACTGCATATCCCATGCCATTCATTTCTGCCTCAAACTGGCATCTATTTCTATCTCAAGTCTTTGTGGTTTGTTTCTCACATCTCAAGCCTTCCCCTCCAAGCTCTCATAAATCATATCCCTCTTCTCACTCTAAGGTATGCACTCATATTCATGAATTTGTTCAAAATTTGATTTTATTTATCATTATTCAGAGTTTACTTTATTCAAAAAGGTGGAATAGCTCACTCCAAATCTAGAGTGCCGTAAAACCCTATTCAAATAGTTCAACCTAAATCCTCAACACAAATGCCCTCATTCAGAACACGTTGACCAACTTGTGCGGGCGTGTACAATTATTAGGAGTTTACTCAGGGTTGTAACAACTTTTTTAAATTTACTCACAAGTAAATAAATTCAAAACATATATAGTATGTTTCACATTGAAAAAATAAATTCAAAATTAGCTAAGAAAATGAAGTATAATATGTTTAGAAAAATAAAACTAATAGTTAAAAGTTATGTCCGGCCTATTTTACGGTCTGATGCGACACCATTGTCGTTTCGTTGCGGTTGCCTTGCAGTTTTTTTTGTGTTTTCATATTATGTCTCGGTTCACTTTGATTTGGTTTCTTCAGTTTGATTTGGTTTGATTTTGTTATTTTTTACTCCGTAACAATATACTCACTCAATCCCAAAATAAACATTTCACTTTCCTTTTCGATCCATCCCTTAAAAATGTCCAATTTTCTTATTTGATAAAAATGAAAAACAGTTCAAAAAAGTGTCAAACATTATTCAATCTGTACCAAGTAGGGGTGAACAAAACAACGTGTAACCGATTAACCGAATAAAAATTTGAAAAACCGATGTATTTTTAAAAGTTAACCGTACCGAATATTTACGGTTAACCAACCGCATAGAAAAAGCGATACACATGGTAGTGTTTCGGTTGAAATATATACTACTGTATGTTTTTGCAATTAACATGTCACTTGCTTCTCCCGGTGCTGCCGTGGCCCGTGAGAATAAGGGCATCTGTTATAAGCCATTAATCAATTATCTTTTGCGGGTTTAATGCATAAGTCCTATGTGGTATGGAAATTCGCAACATTAACATCTGTGATTTAAAAAATACGTGAAATCCTCTTGTGTTTTAATTAATTATGCGCAAAATTTCTTCTATGAACAAATTCAATTGTCAAATAAAAGAAAAATGATTAACATTTTTGTACTCCCTCCGTCCCTTAAAACTTTGGTAACTTTCCTTTTTTTGATGTCTCACTTACTTTGTCATTTTCTCTTTTAAGTAAAGAGTTTGTGTTTTCAGTTAATTCTCTCTCCTCTGCACAAACTTCAATCACACAATTTTTACTTTATTAATCTCCGTGTCGGTTAAACTTGGCAAAGTTTTAAGGGACGAGGAAAGTTTGATTTAGAGGTTTTCACATATTTACTTGCATAATCAAGTGGAATATGCCCTTAGCTTAATTAAGGGCACCTGCTAGGCTGCCACGTGGTCATCGAGATTGCACAAGTGGAATATTATATACTCGTATTGTTGCTACGTGTTGCGTGCTCTACGTAATTTTAATTAGTTTTTAATAGAATGATTAGTTTTTAATCTTTTTTGTTGTAAATATTTGAAGACTTTACTAGTTAAAGTAAAAAATAGAATGAGCTTTTGTCCGTGGAGTACATTGGTCCACTGGCCGACATTATGAATTATTATTATTATTATTATTATTATTATTATTATTATTATTATTATTATTATTATTACATCATTGTCATCATTATTACTACCTTCGTCCCATAAAATTCTTCCCACTTTGACTTGGCACAGAGATTAAGAAAGTGGAAATGTATGGTTGTGATTGTGTAAGAAAAAGTGAAATGAATGTGAATCACACAAATTATCCAAAAATGATAAGTAAGAAGAATTTTTTGGAACGGTCCAAAAATGAAAGTGAGAAGAATTTTATGGGACGTATGGAGTATTATTATTATTATTATTATTATTATTATTATTACAATTATTATTATTATTATTATCATCGTCGTCGTCATCATCATTGTTATTGTTATTATTATTAGTATTATTAGTATTGTTACTATTATTTTTTGTAATTACAAATGAATAAAATATAATTATTTATGGATTATAATATATATAAAAAACAAAATATTTATGCAAAAATATAAAAAATAAAATTTCAGACCAAACCAGACCAGACCAGACCAAAACAGACCAGACCAGACTAAAATAGACCAGACCAGATCAGACCAGCAAATTACAGTCGAAGTAAAAACATCCTATATAGTTGCTACGTGTTGCGTGCTCTACGTATTTTTTATTAGTTTTTAATAGAATGATTAGGTTTTAATCTTTTATGTTGTAAATATTTGAAGACTTTTCTAGTTAGAGTAAAAAATAGGATGAGCTTTTGTCCGTGGAGTATGGTCCACCGGCCGACATTATGAATTATTATTATCATCATCATCATCATAATTATTATTCAATAAAGGCACAGAAAAATAAGCTCATCCAGTAGTAATCTCATCATCATGAGTAATGAATATGAGGAGGTAACAAAAAGAAATTTTGGCAATTTTATCTTTCTCTTTCACGGTTTTATGGTTTATTCAGTTTATTGGTTAACCGTTAGTGGTTAACCGAAATATTGGTTAACCGACACCCAGTTAACCAACGTTACGGTGCGGGTAACCGTATATAAAATTTAGTAATGAATATCTCGATTAATCGAAAATTAGTTAATCGAAATCCGGTTAACCGACCGTGCCCACCCCTAGTACCAAGCAATGCCATTTTAAATTAGGATGGAGGGAGGAGACGATTCGGCTAACCAAATCGATATACGCCCCATAGCACGGCATTCATAGATACTCTAGTCTCTAAAGATATGGCATGTGCACATAATATATACGTTTCCGTAAAAGATATTCGCGCTTATATCCATAAAAGCTTTCCAAAAGTTTCTAGTTATATATGAAGTTGCATATTATCTCAATAAATAGTTATCTATCATACTTTTTTGGTTTTTTAAACCTGAAAGGTAAACCACTCCTTGGATAATTGTCGGAGAACATTTATTGAATTTTATTAAAAAAAGAGATATACATCCAGAGAGGGGGACTTATTTAACATATATGTTGCACATGGCAATCTTATCATTAGTGAGTTTGTTACAAGCTAATTAAGGTACTGTACCTGCAATTTTTTAAAGGTACCCTAGTTCTCACCTTAAACTTATTGGTTTCATAATTAATTAAAATAACTATCCGTAATTACTTTTGTAAATATGAGAATTAATGGAAAGTTAGATGTGATTACTTTTGTAAAAACTGTCGAAGTCTTTTTATTAAAAACTGTCGAATTAATGGAAGTATATTTTTGGAGCCAAAAATAGTGAAAAAAATATTGTCTTAATTAAATATATGAAGTGTTCCAAAAAATATATATATGAAGCATTTTATAACTCCATAACTAATAATAATTAATGATTATGTAAATATGTAATTAATAGTTACAAGCTATAAGCCTTTGTGATCTGATGACACTATGACACTCACAAGTCACAAGGAAGAGGTCACGGGTTCGAATCACATTCCAGTTTCAGTATGTTGGTCTTAACATAAAACATATACTATACGGAGTATATCTATACATATTAAAAATGAAACAAATATAAATATAATAATTGACAAAATTAGAAACATAAAAATCAGAATCATTTAGACACATAAAAATAAAGATGGAATAATGAAATATTAAAAATAAAAAATAAAAAATAAATTCAATATCTTTGTCTTTATATATAGATATTATGGTGAGATTCCAAATACAATACTATTCCCTACCCACATAAAACTCCTAAGTTGCATTAAATAAAAATTTAAGATATGACTCATAAAGTGTTCAGCGTTATGAATGCTTTGAATGATTTTGTAAAATATAATACTATTGATATATTAAATGTTTTTTTGCTATTATTATTACTATTATTATTATGATTATTTATATAATTATTATTATGATTTATTATTATTATTATTATTATTATTATTATTATTATTATTTACTCCCTCCGTCCCAAAAACAACTTCTCAGTTTGACTAGCACACACATTTAGGTAGATTAAAATTTTGGTTTGACTTTCCCAAAATTTTACTGTTTAGCACTGTTTGGACACTGTTTAGCACTGTTTGGACACTGTTTAGCACTGTTTGTCACTGTTTGACACTGTTTTGATGTTGATAATTTGCCAAATAAGGAAGTGAGAATAAATGTGAAGTTAATTTTGGGACATCCATTTAAGGAAAGTGGGAAGTTATTTTTGGGACGGAGGAAGTATTACGGAGTATTGTTATTATTATTATTATTATTATTATTAATCATGATGATGATTAAAAAACGCAAACAAAAAACTCACCGCTGCCGCCCCAGCACCACAACCTTGGGTCGTCGGGGAGAAATGACAGATGCATTAGGAATGTCATATTTATTAGTATTATTAGTATTATCATACTCCAAAATATTTTTATATCCATTATTGATTGTTTACCCATGCATCTTCCATTCCATATGTGGGCATAGGTTATGGATAGTGGGGTGAGAAAGCACGCCCTGAATGGTACTACTGCTGCTTCCAACTCTGATCTCGTGCTGAAACACATTACCCAGATTCTACTAGAGGAGGAGGAGGAGAGCATTGATGGGCCCCTGGTCTCATATTACGAAGCATTGCATGATTATCCTTCCTCATTGTTTCACATCCATGCCGGAAGAAGCTCTTGGAATGATAATGTTGATGGTATTGTTGATCCCCGAGAATCAGAATCATCATGTGTGACATCTAACACAAATTTATTGATGTCCAATACGACAGAGGTAAATTAGCTAACTTTGTGGAAGGTATGGAATTTGTGAAAATTGAAATGATACATATGCTAACCATATATTTTTCATATAAGTAAGTTCCTTTTTCAATCAATATTATAAAATTAAATCCAAAAGAAAAAATATGACTGATTTTAAAATTTTCTTAAAAAATGAAATATTCAGTGACTAGTTCCGAGTGACTCTTCATCTATGAGTGCCCTGTCACTCTAGAATATACTATAGTGACTTTTGTCTAGTTACTTGTACACATTGATTAGTCATATTTTTATCTAAAAAGCATAACTACTCATATTTTTGTTCAGAGAAACTCTATTAATATTATACATGTCATTTTTTCTTATTTATTTATATCATAAAGATGGTGAGTGAAGACAAATACAAAGTATTTTAATAAATATTAAAACTTATTCTGCTCATTTTTTGTTTTTTTTATTTGAACCAAACCAAATCAAAGCATTTAGTTTGAGAAAATTTCTACCAATCAGTTTACTTCATTGAATCCAAACCAAATCAAAGTACCAATTTTGATTTTCGAACAAAACTGTTTTGCTCTGCCCTAGTTTTAGCACACTAGTGTACGTACTCATCTACTACGGAAAATAACTTGTCGCAATATTTTGATAAAATTTTGCGAGCATGTTATTCTTGAAGTGTAGATTATGTTCATAAAAGTTCAGCTTAACAGTCAATCGGGAAGGAAGTTGAATAAATTCATGAAAAACATTGTGCCAATCTACACACATGTTATACTTTAAGTTGAACATTTATGAACCTAATCTACACACTTCATAAAAAACATACTCACAAAATTTCATCAAAACATTCTAGCGGATTGAATATATATTGGCACATTATTTTGCAATAATTTATTTAACTTCCTTCCCAATTGAATTGTAACATGAAATTTTATGGACATAAGCTGTACACTTCATAAAAAACATGCTCACAAAATTTAATCAAAATATTCCCCCGGCTATGTTGCACAGACACGGATACGTTGATACCTCGATACGCGAATACGGGTGCGGTGATACGGCAACTTCAAAAAATATAGGATATGGGTACAGGGGTATATTTATAAATAATAATAGTATACGGTATAATTTGCATATATATGTAATACATAGATCCATGAATAAAATAATAATAGTACCAAAAATAACAGTTATAATAAATTTTCAAAGATTAGACTAAAAAAACTAAGGTACGGATATTTTCGATTTAACTTCAAATAATATTTTTGGTTCTCTATTTGCATTTACATCTAAGTCTTTTAACAATACTGATTTCAATTAAAGTCCATCAAACGACAAATTGGCAAATTATAGTATTACAATATTTTCTATACTCCCGAAATCATCTTTAGCAATGTTCCACTTCTTGTGGTTGCTTGGGTGGCTACGAAATTTTCATTAATTATGTCGCGTACGAAATCATGGTTATATGGTTAGATATGTGTACCTGTTTACGGATATGGGTATCAGAAGTATTTATATTTTTGAAAAAAAACTTCAATACTTTTAGTAAATTGCGGATACGAACCCAATACGTATTGGATACATATCGGATTCGTGGATACGACATCGAGATGAAGTATCAGTGCACCATAGGAGGCCAGACTCCAGACGAGCGTCCTCATGATCTCCTGACTTTGGAGCTCAAGTAAGCGCAAGGCCAGGCGTCCATTCGGCCCACACCGTAAGCTTCCTCTGAGACTCTTGAATCATCGCATGGACCCCTTTGGGCAAGGGTGATCAAGCCGAGCGTCCCGAGGAAAGGATTCAAGGACGGACGTCCGATGGGTTCTTCGTTAGGCCGCTTCCCCCGGACCTTGGTGGATTACTTGCCAAGGGTTAATGAGTCGTTCCTATATCGGGCCAATTAATCCAACACACATATTCATTACTCAGCATTTTTTGAAAAATGATAAATTTATTTAGAACATCATAATTAATCTCGTCAAATTTTTTTGGAGACTAAGGTTGTTTTTACTTGGACCGTAATTCATCCCAGACCACACCAGACCAGACCAAAACAGACCAGACCAGACCAGACTAAAACAGACCAGACCAGACCAAAACAGACCAGACCAGACTAAAACAGACCAGACCAGACCAGACCTTATTTTATTATTATTATTATTATTATTATTATTATTATTATTATTATTATTAGGGGTGTGCACCGGTTCAAAACCAGACCGGACTGGATATCATTCCGGTTCGATCCGGTTCCGTTTTTTCCGGACCGGTTCGGTCCGGTTTTCCGGTTTAAACGGATAGTGCACACCCCTAATTATTATTATTATTATTATTATTATTATTATTATTATTATTATTATTATTATTATTATTGTTGTTGTTGTTGTTATTGTTATTGTTATTTGTAATTATGAATGAATAAAATATAATTCTTTATGGATTATAATATATATAAAAAATAAAATCTTTATGCGAAAAATATAAAAATAAAATTTCAGACCACTAAGACATGCACATCCTAAGATATGTGCATGTCTTAGTGGGCACCGTTTTACTTGTAAGGTTCAAATGTGAACCACAAAATTAGAAATTGTTTAGTTCACCTAATTGGAATATAATGGTTTTGATCTTAAGTTTTAGCTTATGCGGACCTATATAATTTGATTTTTTTATCTGAATCTTTTTTATTTGATCTAAATGTATATTCGGTAATAGTGTAAAATTTTATATATGATTATTTATTATGAAAACAACTAATACTCGGTAAATAACCAACAAACCAATATTTGAAAAAGAGTACCCAACGAATAGTTGAATACCCAAAGCATGGTTTTGAGGCTTTTTTAAGATTTAAAAATGTTGTACAGCGAGAGCGTACATTGTACAATCAGTTGTACCATGCACACGGTATAGCCAGGTACGTATTTATGAATTATATGAGTATTGATATTAAATCACTGTATTGGTAACACAATTGAGTATTAGAAACATGCAATTGAGTATCATAATCTATACGTAATATATATGCTACAAATAAACTTATTTAATTAACTATATTATCATTGTATTATCATCAAAATATTTATTTTGCTAATTTTATAACTTAATATACCAATACTCATTTCTTTTGACATAAAATACTCGGTTGTACCGTGTGCACCGTACAGCCGGTTGTTCGATATATTTTGTCTTGTACAGCTGGATGACATGACACTTCAATCGGGGTTTATTCAAAATTTAGGCCTTTAGTTGGGTTATACTGTATTTTAAAATACACGATTTTTTGTGAAGTTTTCAAAACATTCATAAATGGTAAAATTATACATGAATTATATGTTACGAGAATTATACGAGGATAAACTAACAAAGCCGGTAACTAATAAATCTTTGCAACTTAACAATAATTTACCGGAAATTACACTTTTCGACAACAAATGTAATGCCGGTGGAATCGTTTCTGGTATATTTTTTGCCGGAAAGTGTACTTTTTTTGGGAAAGTCCTTAAATTGCAAAGATTTATTAGTTGTAGGACCATACTTTTAAGTGACTAAAGTTACCGGGCTAATAATGAAAACAACCCTAAACAAAATATTACTATTAGTACTATTAATTTACTATATATTATTATATCTATTGTTATTTGTTTACCCATCCTCCATTCCATATGTGGGCACAGGTTATGGATAATGGGATGAGAAAGCATACCCTGAATAGTACTGCTGCTTCGGACGCTGAACCCGTGCTGAAATACATTACCCAGATTCTACTGGAGGAGCAGGAGGAGAGCATTGATGAGCCCTTTGATCACATTGCTCTTACAGCTGCTGAGAACTCCTATTATGAAGCATTGCATGAGAATGGTTCGTCACTGTTTCATAGCAGTGCTGAAAGAAGCTCCATGCATGATAATGTTGATGGTGTTATTGATCCCAGAGACTCGGAATCACCATGTGTGACAAGCGAGCCTACCCCGCATCTCGCCATCCAGTTAACATCATCATCAAATAACTATGACTTAAATGGTGCTTCTTCATATTGCTTTGATAGTGCAATGATGTCTTTCCTTAGAGCTAGTTCGTCGGTTCGAAATGTATTTGGTGGCAATGATGATACAGAGTCCAAATTGGAATTCCAGAGATGCATGGAGGAAGTTAGTAGCTTCCTTCCCGGTCACAATAAGTTGGTAATGGATGATTTGGAGGCTACCAAAGATGTTGTTGTGATTGATACAGAGAAAGACCATTTGCGTAGAGGAAAGAAACATCATTACCTTCCACAAGAAAGTGGGGTAGAAGAAGAGAGGAGCAGCAAACAGTCTGCAGTGTATGAAGAGGTTGATTTATCAGAAGTGTTTGACAAGGTTTTACTGTGTGGTGATGATAAAGGTTATCCATTTGGTGCCAAAGAAAAGGGGCGAAGAGGTCACCATTCAAAGAAACGGGGAGATAATTGTGGCATTGTAGATGTGTTGTCTCTTCTAACTAGTTGCGCACAATCTGTTCATGATGGTGACTATAGGGATGCACAAGCTCAATTAAAGGAGATCAGGCAGCACTCTTCACCTACGGGTGATGCAAATCAAAGGCTAGCTCATGTGCTTGCAAACAGTCTCGAGGCAAGGTTGGCTGGAACAGGTAAACAACTATGTCAATCAATATCTCCTAAAACCATCGCAGCTTCTGAGTTTCCGAAATCGTACTTGACATCGTGGCCAATCATGAGAATATCAACTTTCTTTTCAAATCAAATGATTTTCAAGGTAGCTTCAAGAGGCTCATCGCTGCACATTATAGATTTTGGTATTCTTCATGGGATCCAATGGCCAACCCTTATTCGAGATCTTTCACAAAGGCCCGGTGGCCCTCCAAGACTTCGAATAACTGGGATTGAGCTCCCCCAACCCGGTTTCCGTCCATCACAAATGCTAGTGGAGACAGGTGTTCGCTTGTCAAAATATTGTGAGCGCTTCGGTGTACCATTCGAGTTCAATGCCTTAACAGCACAACATTGGGAGGCAATTGAGATTGATGAATTGAAGCTTGGGAGTGGTGGTGAGGTGGTCGCTGTTAACAGTAACTTTCGATTTGATTACCTATTGGACGAGACTTTGGTTGCTGGGTACAACCCTAAGGATGCAGTTTTAAACTTAATCCGAAAAATAAATCCGGATATATATGTGCATACCGTGCATAGTGGATCTCATAGCTCTCCTTTTTTTCTCCCTCGCTTTCGAGAAACTCTCTTCTTCTACTCTGCTGTCTTTGATATGTGTGAGACTACTTTACCACACCGCCATCATCCTCAAAGGTTGAGTTTCGAACAAGAGTTTCTTGGACGAGAAACAATGAATATCATTGGATGTGAGGGCATTGAAAGATTGCATAGGCCTGAAACGTATAAGCAATGGGAATCACGCATGTTGAGGGCAGGGTTGAAGCCTATGCCCTTAAAATCTCATCTTGTCAACAAGTTATTGAGACAGGCTCGAGCATCATATCATAAAGACTTTCTGTTTATTGAAGACGGTCTTTGGCTACTGCAAGGGTGGAAAGGTCGGGTTCTTGGCGGCAGCTCTTGCTGGGTGGCTACATGATAGACTCAGAATCCCTCATACAACGGTAACCTAAGCAACATGAAAACTTCTCCACCTTATGTTTCGTATATTTCCCACATTCAAAAGCGTGTGGGGAACATCATATTCCAGATTGTGGGCCTTTTGTGTAATTTCTAGAAGAATTTAGAAAGGTACTTCTGTGCCTCGGTAATTAGAGCATCCCGAATGCAACTCTTTCTACTCTAAATAAATTATGCCACATAATAAAAGTAGACATGGACTAATTATTTTATCCTCGAACGTTTTTAGTGTACAAGTAAAGATTGATGACTTAAAGCTTAACAATATTTAGTTTTCTTAGTAGCTCAAACAATATTTAAAGCTTAACTAAACACAATCTAGTGAAAAGTTTCACCATACTAGCATTGAACCAACCATATACACTTTCACACTAGTGGAAAATATGGATTTAATAACGGTCTCTTTTCTCTAATCCAACAGCTCGCTAGTCGCACAGTGTATAAGGCGGCTAAAGGTATTAAATACTGCGTATAAAATATTTAGCAAAAACATCGTAGATAAACACAAATAAAATAATTGAAACCTGAGTGAAAAATGGAATTATACTTATGGCGGAAGAGTAGTGACCGGCGTTTGGAGGGAAATAGTACTTGATGAAACACCAGCGGCGGCGCGTGAGGTAAGAGAGGCGATTAACAATGGAGGCATCGGACCTTCATGCGGCGACTTCGTCTGAACATGTTTGGTTTTTGCCCTGTCTTCGATTTGATCTTCGAGTGGCGACTAAACAAATAATACTTCGTAAGGTTCAAAATCTTTCGATAAGGGTTCATAAAGAGTGTGACACAGAAAAGGATTTTTGTATTTACAAAACAGACCCGATTCTAGTTTAGATTTTCTACAAATTATTTAAATGACCCCGTTGACATTCATGTAATTTCCATGTTTACGTTTATGTTTTTAATTAGTTTAGATTGATTGTTATTTGTTTAGATTAGGTTTATACTGAGCTCAAACAGGTCCAAGATCACTCTAGGGACAATTAGTGAACATCACAAATGGAAGGAAGGTGCAAAAATCTCAAGACAAATTGAAGAGTATGATTTTTGGTGTTGTACCCGGTCCGGTATGACCTATACCCGATCGGGTACCTTGTTGAAAAATCAAATCGGATCGGATCCGGGACAAGGCAACATGTAGGAAAATATTTGACCACGTTCGAGTGTCATACCCGATCGGGTATGCCCAACTTTTCGAGCTTCCGGGAAGCCACTGAAGGTACCCGATCGGGTGCCCTTGATGCCCGATCGGGTACACACACATGCATGCTCCAAAAGCCTATAAATACCTCTCTTTCCTTCCCACAAAGATCACCAATTCACATATACTTCTTAGCTCAGTTTAGACAAACTCTTTCTTTATATTTTCTTCGTGTTTAGTCTCCAAATGAGGAGCTAAACTCTTCCATCTTGGTTTTGCTACTTTGAAGCGTAATGAATTTGTAAGTTGTGAGTTATTTTCTTTAATCTTCTTCCTTGAATATTAATTATTTCCTATTCATATTTCTTATTAATATTTTGAGCATTACTTAAAGGATCAACTAGTTTTGTTTCATACATTAATTATTACTAGAATCAATCGATTAATACGCTTGTTATTAATTCAGTTCTTTCAGCGGTAGTAAAACTTGGATTATTAATGCATGCGTCTCATGGTTAATAATCTAAGGGGAATTAATTATATTGATTAAACCAATAAACCGCTTGTGTTGAGGTTATCAATCTCAATCGTTTTCATCTTAAGTTTATTGCGACTATCAGGCTAATATTAGACGCTTGTTCTATATTAACTCGGTAGTAAATTTTATTAATGAACGGATAAAAGCAAAACCAAGTCCTCATCTCTATAAATTAAACTCATATAAGTCGTTCATCTTAGTGTTAATTAAATTAAATCAAATCAAACTTAAAACCCCCCTTGTTACTATCTATATAAAAGAAAAGTATTCCTTTCCCTGTGGATACGAACCTTACTTCAATATACTACGTATATTTGTTGTATTGTATTTATTTTGAGTGCACCTCACGACAAGTGCACGTCAAATTTGGCGCCGTTGCCGGGGAAAGGCAATTATTTTTTCTTTTATTGTATTTCAAGAAAACATAAAAAAATATTAACTAAAAATATAAAGAGTTCTTATTTCTTCTATTTCTGAGCTTGGTGAAATATATGGTTAAACACCGTTCTATAAACGAGATCACCTATCAAACAAACCCAGAAATAGAACAAACTTTCGAGCGGTTGAGAAATAAATTTTCTAATACCGACTCGGAGGAATTATCTACCGGAGATACATCCAGCGCTAGTTCTCATTCTAGAGAGACCGAAGAGCCAATAACTATGGCTCTCGAAACAAGAACTTTGAGGGAGCTCACAGCTCCAAACTTGAATCAACAACTGTTATGTATTACCTTCCCTACACTCGATGAGGGTAATACATTTGAGCTAAAATCTGGGCTCATACATCTACTTCCATCCTTTCATGGCCTAAGAGGAGAAGATCCGAACAAACACTTTTCGGAGTTCCATATTGTGTGCACAAGCATTTTCCCCAGTCGTGTCTCGGAAGAACAAATCAAATTGAGGGCTTTTCCATTCTCCCTCAAAGACACTGCAAAGGATTGGCTATTCTATCTTCCTTCGGGAAGTATAGACACATGGGCGGCAATGAAAAAATGCTTTTTGGGTAGGTACTATCCCGCCTCCATCTCATCTTCTTTAAAAAAACAAATAAGCAACATTGAGCAAAAAGAAGATGAAACATTGTATGAATATTGGGAGCGTTTCAAAAAGTTGTGTGTTAGTTGCCCATATCATGGGTACACCGAGCAAGACCTCATCCTCTATTTTTATGATGGTCCTGCAGATCAAGATAGGCGCATGGTGAATGCGGCATGTGGAAGGGGAATTGTTAACAAAACCCCTTCTCAAGCAAGGAATCTCATCTCGGAGTTGGCCGAGAACTCCAGACATTACAGTGGGCGATCCTCAACTCGAAGGGTTGCCGCAGCAGAATCCAACACCTCGTTGGAAAACCAAGTTGCCGGTTTGACCTCTCTAGTCAAAGAACTTCTTCTAAAGCCAAAGACTCAGGAAGTCAAAACTTGTAGCATTTGCACAACAACCGGGCACCCCACTGATTCGTGCTCATCCCTCCAAGAAGAACAAGTCAACGTCTTGGGTTTCAAAGGCCATCAACAGAAGAGGTATGATCCATTCTCAAATTCTTACAACTCTGGATTGCGGGATCATCCTAACTTGAGGTATGTAAACCCTCAACGATCCAATTCATCTTCTCAATCTAGTATGTCAACTGATGACATGATCCGGACTTTGACCTCAAACATGGTTACCATGCAACAAAACATGGGACAATTTCAACAAACCATGATACAATTAAACATGAGACAAGGTCAAGCATTAACAATTTGGAAACTCAAGTTAGTCAAATTGCAAATGCCGTGAACCGACTTGAAACGAAGGACTCGGGTAAACTCCCATCTCAAACGAAGCAAAACCCGAGACAACATGTGAATGCCATCATGTTGAGAAGTGAGGCGACATGGAAGGAGGTAGATCAAGAAATTGAGGAGGTGGACCCTGAAGAAGAAGTTCAGCCGGAGGAGGGGGTCACAACAGCCAAGCTCTCTCCACTTTCATCATATGAACTAGTAGCCATGTTTCCTGAGGCGCTGAGAGAGACAAAGAAGCCGGAGAAAGATTCTGACATCTATGATACTTTCGCCAAATGTGAGGTAAACATTTCGCTCCTTAACTCAATGAAAAGTGTTCCTCGTTTTGCTAAATTTTTAAAAGAATTGTGCAAAACAAAATGGAAAAATAAATTGAAAGAGAAACAAGAGGTTAAGGTTAGTGAACATGTCTCAGCTATTTTCCAAAATAAACACTCCGAAAAATGTAGCGACCCAGGCATGTTCACTATTCCTTGCACGATAGGGGGCACCACATTTCCTAGGGCCTTGTTGGATTTAGGAGCATCAATAAATGTCATTCCTTATTCCGTTTATAAATCCCTACAACTTGGCCCACTACATCAAACCGGTGTAGTAATTCAACTAGCGGATCGTTCTAGTACTTACCCGCAATGGCGGATCCAGAAATAAAATTTATTGGGGGCATATCAATGAACATAAGATGATAACATATACTCTGTAGGAAAAATTGAAAATAATAATCTCAACTATCGATTATTCCTAGGTGGTCCCAACTATAGGGACCATTTTTCAAAAATGGCCCTTGACTTGTTACAACCTGGTATAGCAAATCATTTTTAAATGTGAACGATGTGTAAGTTCTGAATAATCCCAACTATAGTTAACCTTTTTTTAACAATCGCAACTATCAACTCTCAATTTTCAGAAAATATAGAACTATTTTTATAAATTTCCAAACTAAATATTTTTAAGCATGAAAAATTAATTATGAATATTCTACAAATGTACCAAAATTATATAATTTTTTGTAAACATTTTTTATTTATTTTTAGAATAGTGGATACAATTGATCAAGGGTTGACTAGTCCGACTAGGCCGATTTTTAGAATAGTGGATACAATTGATTAATGTGCTTGCCACTCTCGATAAAATTAAAATATTGGAACTTTAGCTACATCGCTGACTCATACTCTAATTTATCTATTTTAAGGTCGATTATGTGATAAATACAAATTATGTGCTTAAGCATATCTACATACTCCATTCCTCTAAAAAAGTTCTTTTCACCTATCATTCTGGGATGTCAAAAAACTTATCCGCCTTTACGAAAAAGGTATGTGTGGTTGACAATAGCATATTAATTTATTTACTTTTTTCTTACTCAACAAAGAATTGTACATTTTACACTTTATTTGCATATTCTTAATAAGCGTGCTATGTCAAATCAGAAAGAATTTTTGGGATGAAAGGAGTGTTAGATTTTGAGAATCTTTTAATTAAGTATACTCTAAATATTACGGAGTATATATAGAGTATACTTGATTAAATTATTTGTATATCACAAATGTATAATTAAATTCAGAATGAAAATGAGAATATTATTAATTTATTATTTCAATAGAGTTTATCGGATGAAAAATATATCATTTGGTAAACAAAGTATATAACACATTGGCACTATTTATTATCCATATGATATAACTTTTCTAAAATATTATTGGGGGCATGATAAAAAATTATTGGGGGCAATTCATTTTTAATTAAAAACTACTTCCTAATAATCCTATAATATTAATGCATTAATAGAATCTTATTGGGGGCATGTGCCCCCACTATAGACAATGTAGATCCGCCCCTGCTTACCCGAAGGGTGTGATAGAAGATGTGCTAGTAGAAATGAAAAATATGGTTTTCCCAGTCGACTTCTATGTCCTCGAAATGGGAAATGATTATCAAATAACACCTATCCTGTTGGGTAGACCCTTCTTAAAGAACTCAAAAACTAAAATTGACGTGTCTAGTGGTTCATTAACCTTAGAATTCAATGATTAAAAAGTAGAGTTCAATATCTTTGACTCTACGAAAGACCAAATTAAAGATCACTCTCTGTGCTCTTTAAATATTTTTGAACCACAGGAACTGATATTTTTGGAGAAATCTTATAAAATCCCAATTTTTCAAGAAGAGGAGAAAATTGAGCATAGAAAGTCATCGTTGGTTGAGATGTTGACAAGAACGAAAGTTCAGCCTTACTGGAAAAGGCCGAAAAATAAAAATGAAAAATAGCCAAATAGGGCCTTGAAAAATGAAACAAGGGACGCTCATGATCCCACATAAAACAAAAAAAAAAGTGAATAACGTCGTGCCGCGACGTTAAATAAGGCGCTTGTTGGGAGGCAACCCAAGTTTATATTTTGTTTATTTTCATTCATTTTTGTGTGTGTTCTTACGTTTTCAAAAAAAAAAGGAGATCCAGGGGATGATACCCGATCGGGCAACACTCTCTACCCGGTCGGGTATAGGCAAAAAATTGAAATAGGCCTGGATCGGGTAACCCACACTCGATCGGCTCAGGGGTTGAAAATAATAACGTACCCGATCGGGTACCACTACCCACCCGGTCGGGTATTGTTCAAAAAATTCAAAAAAAAAATCTTGTAGCTACTTACTCGATCGAGTACCCGGCCTATTCGATCGAGTATCAACCCCTGGGCTGAATTTAATAAAACAAACACATACCCGATCGGGTGTACACATGTACCTGGTCGGGTGTATTTTGAAAAAAGATGATTTAGTTCGTGGCAAAGTACCCGATCGGGTACACCCATACACCCGGTCAGGTAAATTAAATTTTTTTCCTGGGAATTTGTTCGCACCAAATCGCCCGATCGAGTATACCCCAACTCGATCGGGTAGGATCCCGGATTTTGAAGAAATACACACATACCCGATCGGGTATGTCGGGCCACCTGATCGGGTACACCAACTTTTAACCCAAATCAGACCCCAAAATCGGCCACTTCATCTTCTCCAACTTCCCAAATACGAAACCCCTCTCCCAAACCCACCATTTTCAAACCACCTTTCTTCAATTACTTCCTCATCTCTCACCCAAATCGCCTCATACAACAACCAAAATCATCCCCTCACTCTCCTCTACAACCTCATACCCACAAAACCATCTCTCTCTCCATATACCACAAAACTCGAAACCCTACCCATCTCACCCCTTCTCCGAAAATCAAGCTTCAACAAGCACACCAATGGCACCCAAAAGAGACAGGGCTGAGAGTTCAACTGCAAGCGGACCAATTCCTGGATTTGAGGACGTCCGGTTCGGCCCGGGGAATCAAAGGCAACGGTTCTTGGCTCAAATAAAAAGGCAAGTAATCCCTTCTAAATTTCTATGTCATGATGCTCTCACTGCTTTAGGCCTGTTGAAAAAAATGTGCAATTTGTTTCATGAGTTGGATATGAACTTGATTTTTGATATGAAGTATAATTGTAATGAGAGGGTGATATATGAATTCTTGAGCTCGGCTAAGTTTGTTGAACGTGAGGAAGGGGAGGAGTTCAATTACGACACACTAACATTTCGTTTATTCAACAATGAATACACAATAACGAGACGTGAGTTTGCCCAACATTTTGGCATCCCCGTGACCCATGAGAGGGGAATACCGGAAAATACAATCGATGACCACACTTTATGGGCTAAAATGACCGGAGAATTGAATGTGAGCGCGTCTAAACTTTCCATTAGTCACGTTCAACATCCTATTCTCCGAATTTTCCTAAAGTCTTTGGCCAATCGTTTGCTCGGTCGCCCTAACAACCACCACACTCGAATGGGGGACGTGGCCATCCTCACCCCTAGCCCTCTTTCAAATACCCATGCCATTCAACCTTTGAAACCCAATGTGGGATCATTTGGAGAAAACTTGCAACAAAACGGGTAATATTGTTGTCGGGGGTCATTATGCATTTGGCCTCCAAATTCGGCTATGTGGATAATGAACCAATAGTCGATCATTGTTTGATGAATTTGACTTGGCTTGGAAACGCGGGGTGCATCTCCTTCACCCACAAAGACTACAACGGGAGAAACCACTACAAGTGGCATATCCTACCCAAACCAACCATCTACTTCCCCATCCCCTCCAAAGAAATACCTAAACTTAGGTATAAAAGGGCAAGTTTTGAAATCACGCATTACCTACTTCCTAATGCCATACGACCACATTTTCAAGCCCAAGCCGAACAACCCGAACAAATTGAGCATCAAGAAGCCCAGGGAAATGCCCAACATGATATTCCCGACCCCCCTCAAAACCCACCACCATAAGACATCCCCAATCCTCCTTACAACCCTCCTACAACCGACTATTTCCAACAACTCTTGGAGGGCCAACAAGCACTACTTGCCTGGTTCAACACAATGAACCTCAACTACACAAACATGGGTGAACAACTTGCACAAGTCCGAGAAGAGCAACGGGCGGGTTTCCAAAGAATGGAAGAGCTACGACAAGCCGACCTCCACCGCTATGAAGAGGACTATTGTAGGGCTTATGGTCCTATGTACTCATATATAGCCCATTGTTGGTCCCGGTTATACTGGATACAGTCTAGAGGGGGGGGGGGGTGAATAGACTGTATTGGTTTTTAGCTTTTTAAACTAAGTACCAGATTTACAGAATAGCCTGTTCTGTTGAAAGAACAGACTGGCAGCGGATGGGGTTCTGGCAGGGAGTTCTGTTAGCCTCAGAGAAGCAAAGGCAGTAGGCCTTCTGTTAACTCGTAGAACAAGTTCTGCTGAACACAGATACCAAGTCCAAGGAGTTAGACAGTTCTATCTAAGTGCAAGTATTAAAAGCAGTAAGTAAACGACACCAGGGATTTTTATAGTGGTTCAAGGAACAACTTGTTCCTCTAGTCCACTGTTCCACTAAGCTGTAAAAACTGCCGTTTACAAAGCCTTAGTCCTAGTACTTAAGAAGCACTCCACGTCTTCTTCAAGCCTAGATGTGTCCTGGGATGCACTGCCTGGCTTCCTTTAACACTGGTCCTTTCACTGAGTTTCCTTGAAGTATCACCACTTCACTACTCCAGTTATTTGGACGTCCTTCTTGTAGCAAGAAGAGTTTCTGTTGAAACTGGGGTTCCTCCAACTAGCTTCGTTACAAAGGATTTGTATGTGATGAGCTTGAAGAGTTGAAGAACACTTGGAACTTTGCTTGAGTTGGAAAGAGTATATTGCCAACTTCTGCCTTCTCTTGTAGAAGATATTGAGTTTGAATCTCAAGGAGGCTTTTTGCTTTTCAGAGTTTGAATATCTTGTTTGTAGCAATGGTTAGCAAAACTTGCAAAGTTATCTTGGCAAAGTTATCCGGTTGTTCTTCGTAGTGTATCTTTTATACTGAGGTTGTCTTCCCGTTGGAGGAGTAGGAGGACAACTGCATTTAATGCGCGATCAGTTGACTTGACCAGTAGGACCCGGTAAAGTTGTCGGGTTACTATTTTGGGATAAAGTATCCTAACATTGCGGCCAATCATCTGCAATTACTCTACGTAGCATGGGGTGCATTAAATGAGCATTTAATGCATGCACTGTAGCTTTTCCGTTTCATACTCCTAGCCGTTGAAGGAATCTTTTAGTTGACTTCCCGGTTCTTTGAAATTCTTCTAAGTGTCAGACCTTCTGGTGTCTTTGTCTGAGAGTAGAACAGAGGAGGTCTGGAGCACTTCTGTTGGGAGAGTATCCAACAGAGACCCAGAAGGGTTTCTGTCAGAGTCAAGACTAACAGAGATCCTGGGGACTTCTGTTCTGGAGCAGAGAACCAAAGGTCCTCTGTTTCAATAATGCCTTAAGAGGCACTTCTGCTCTTGAAGTCCTTCTGCTCTTGAAGCCCTTCTGTTCTTGAAGGTCTTCTGTCAAGTCGATTACTCTAAGAACTTTACAAAGGAAAATTCTAATACATAATTTCTAAAGGGGGTACTCTAAAGTCCTAATTAATCTAGCATCATCAAAATCTAATTACAATTATTCCTTACAATTTCCCCCTTTTTGATGATGCCAAAACCCTTTAACTATTTCTAGAGAAGTGCCTTCACCATAAAAAAAGATTAAGTTTAAAAACTTCCATTAAAATCTTGGTGGGCACCTTGGCATAGGAAAATAGTAAGAGTACGATACATTCAGATAGCAGAATATAACAGAAATAAACAAACACAAGCAGAAGGCAAAAAGACAAGAAATTGAGGAAAAGCACTTCAAAGTAAGAAGGCAGAGATGTGATTTTATTAGATAGGTTTTACAGAGTTTACACCTTACACATTCTCCAGATTAGCTGCCTGTAGAGCTTCTTCCTCTAGTCTTTGAAGCCTGAGCAGTTCTTCATTTATTTCAGCTCTGATTTTGAACAGATTGCCAGACCTTTGATAAGATGCCCATATTGGAGAAAGCTTACAGTCCAAATAGTTGAGGACACCTTCATGTATGGTCTTTCCTGGGACAATGTTCTTCTTGTACCATTCTTCTGCTTCTTCTAGTGAACCCCCATACCTAACTTTGACAACACCATCTTTGTCCAAATAGAGGTGCTGTTGTTGGGTAGGAGTCATTTTAGCCTTCATCTCTTCAAATTGAGCTTTGTCAATGTTCTGAGAACCACCCAATCTCCACTCAGTGAAGTTGAAAACTTTCTTCTTCTTGGTGCTCTTCTTTACTGGAGATGGGGGTCTAGGTATGCCTGCTGCTCTTTTCTTTTGAAGGGCAGCTTCAAAGTAGGGAGCCGGATCTACTGCAGGCTCATCAGAGGAGGGTGGCCTGGTAGGAGTTCTGTGGGACCTAGGCCTGGTCTGTTGAGGGTCCTCTTCCCCCTTTTTGGCATCATTCAGATCTTAAATCATAAGATTGATCTTCTGGAATTCTGAGGCCTAGGTTGAGGCTATCTGCTCCAGGGCCTCTGGTAGAGTCTGGGTGACAGAGGTAAGGCCTTCAATGAGACCTTGCTGCTTCTGTATGGCAGAGAAGATGTCCTTGTTATTGGCTTCAAGAAGCACCATCTTCTGATAACGATCTCTGTCAGTAGACAGAAGTGCTTGAGCCTGTTCTTGATGAACTCTGCACATTGCCTCAATAGAGGTCAAGTGCCTCTCTGTCCTGGCATCAGATTCCTTCAGAGCTTCAAGATGCTCTGAGATATTGTGAATAGCATGGCCTTGACTTAGGAGAGTCTGCTGGAAGATAGAAAGAGTGTTGTGGATGCCTACCACTTCTGTTGACAGGGCATCTGTTCTGGCGGATGATGAGGCTATGAAGTTGTTGAGAGTTCCTGTGAGGTTCTCAAAACGATCAGAGATGAACTGCATACCTGAGTTTAGATTGTCATTCACATGAGCAAGGTGCCCATAGTGTTTGTCATTGATTTCAATCAGTTTGTTCATGCCTTGGAGGATCTGTCCTCCAAATTCTTCAGCAGATTCAACAAATTTGTTGAAGGGAACGTTGTTCTGTTGTCCATCAGCTTGAGGCATTTCTAGACCTCTTCCCTTAGGCAAGGGGTGATGTTCTTGGACAGATGACAGAGATTGAACAAGTTGTTCATGTTCCAGTTGAGTCAGAGGAGGGGTCTTCTGTCTCTTTGATGTAGCTTGATAAGACTTGCTGACCATGAATCCATCCATGTCAGATGAATCTTCATAAGAGGAGTATATGGGTATGGTGTTCCTGATGACCTTCTTCTTCTTTCTGAAGGAGGGATTGGGGGCAGTAGAATGCCTAGAATTCCCTTGGGGTGC